GGTAACATAGTGCTCAGAATAAGACATCATTAACAATCTTGCACCGGGTTGCAACTTTAAAAATAATCTAAAAGCTTGTTTCTTTGAAGCTTATCTCCAAGTATTTAATGGCTGCACTCAGGATCAAAATATATCTCTTCTGAATATTTATTTTTCTCCTCAACAAAACTGTATGTTCACTGTTTTCAGATACACTACAGATGGAGGATCTAGGGAACATCTTGAGAAAGGAACTATCCGTGGGGATGCTGTCTTTTCAGGTAAAAGTTCATATATCATAAAAGCTGTTACTTGCGAGATTTTATAGACATTTTTTCATTCATCTATCTACTGTTCCATTGTTTAGCCCCTGTCATCCTCTATCCACTGTTCCATTGTTTAGCTATTATCAGGCATATCAACTGATACTCACAGGATTTGCACTGGATATATTGCAAACAACCTAATATATATGCTCTCTCTGTAGCTGTTGACTTCGGTACTGGAGATGACCCTTGGCCTATATTCAAGCTTCAAAAGGAGTTCAATGCCCCTGGAAAATCACCACCACTCACAGCGTATGTGTGTTCTTATGGAATATTATTTAATTAAATTATGAAAGAAGGAGATAGGAGGGGAAGATGGGGGGAGAAGGAGAGAGAGGAAAAGAATAGATAGATAGGAATAGAGTGCACGTGTGTAGTAGAGAACCATATAGGCAATGGTCACTAACACCTAACAACCAAATGGCATGGACTAACTTACAGCAATAGCCCCTATAACTAAATATTTATGTTATTATGATATCATCTAATTTCCTGGATGCAAAATACTATGGTGCTTATCATATCAGTGAATTCTATACCGGATGGCTTACGCACTGGGGAGAGACCATTGCTGCAACTGATGCTGATTTGACAGCAGCCGCTCTTGAAAAAATTTTGCAAAAGAATGGTTCTGCAGTTCTCTATGTATGTCTCCACTTCCTTCTTTTAGCTGTTATCGATATGACATTTAAATGAAACTTTTTGGCATGGCTGTTTTAATTCAGATGGCACATGGCGGGACAAACTTTGGATTCTACAATGGAGCAAACACTGGTCAAGATGAGGCTGACTACAAGGCTGACATCACTTCTTATGATTATGTCAGAATTTTTTGGGCCCATCGATTCACATTCTATTGACTATTTTGTCTACATGTTATGATTTATATGCCTCGATCTTGTCCAGGATGCACCAATCAGGGAATCTGGAGATGTAAACAATGCAAAGTTCAATGGTGAGGATGCTAGTTCTCTACTTATTTTCAGGCTATCATTTATGCACTTTCATTAGTAAGCTAATTCTTTTTGTGATTGGATACCAAATGCAAATCCAAAGAATATGCTAAGGGAGCAATATTTATTGAATCAAATATAGGCTCGATGTCCAGGCGATTCTACCAGAATTTCTGGATTACAGCTATATTAATGTATCCGCAACTCAGGGCATTTAAAGAGGGTACATGCTTTTGTATTAGAAAGGACTCCCATTCCCCCATGTAGTTTAAGACTTACAGATATCATGAAACATTCCATTGTTACTTAGTACTTGTACATGGATCCGATTAGCCCTTGATGGGGGAAGCTGGGGTTAATTGGTAGTTTAAATATGTGGTAGGTTGTGTCAATGAATGTTGATCCTTTTAATTTTGCTCTCTGTTTTTTAGTAATTATCATCTAGTGAATGTGCGGTAACTGTGAGCAAATGCATATCGGCCATATGGCATCTATTGAAGGAAACTGAAATATCATGAATTAGATTTATGGGAAACTTTGCACTACAACAACTTAGTCCTTTGGTTCTATTTACAAGCCAGAGAAAAGGTTTTTCTTGGCCTTATTTATAAGTCTCATCATTAAATTCTTAACATGAATGTATTATTTAACTCTTCATTTATTATGTATAGGTTGTTATTTTCTTGGAAAGTGTATACATTAAATAAGGGCAAGGTCGGAAAATTGTTAAATTTTAAGGCAGAATTAATGGAGTTTTTTTGGTGCCAGTGAAATTGGAAAGTGACTTATAAATAGGACCAAAAGAGTATCTACTTTTGTGTGGGTTTAATATGATAATTTGCTAACACTTCCCCCATCCCCCCTAAACCAAAAAAAAAAAAAAACAAATCTAAGATTTTGCTATGCAAGGCATCATTCAGAAAATATACTAAATTTGGGCTTCTTGTATGTGTTTCAGCTCTTCGGAAAGTTATAGCGCAATATAGTGTAGCCCCTCTTCCATCAGTTCCCTCCGATAATGGAAAGGCAGGATATGGACCAATTCACTTGCAAAAAAAAGCTTTCTTGTTTGATATGTTTGATTTGGCCAATCCCACCAATGTGATTGAAGCTGAAAACCCGTTGTCAATGGAGTCTCTGGGCCAGGTATGTCATAGCTGTTCATAATGATGCAATTGTTAAAGGTATATTATATTAACTGAATTACCTTGCATCCAGATGTTCGGGTTTACGTTATACATGTCGAAATATGCGTCTAAAGGAGGCAGAAGCAATTTATTCATACCCAAGGTGCTGTTTATCTTCTTTTAGTAACTCTCAGTCTTTGTTCTCTAGCTATGTCTTTATTTTCATTCCTAAGAGACAATGCAACCAATGTTGGTTCCCAGGTAAAGGCTGCATTAGCATCCCTTTTCATGTTCTCTTCTTTTATGGATTACCCAAGAGCTAGATAGTTTACAGAATGTCTTATCTATACTTGTGTAAAGCTTATTACGAATGTGCAGGTGCATGACAGAGCTCAAGTATTTATTGCGTGTCCTTCCAAAGAAAGTGGTGCACAGCCAACTTATGTCGGTACCTTGGAAAGACAGCTGCATAACAACCTCACCCTTCCTGAAACTAAGTGTTCTTCTAACATCAATTTATATATACTGGTATCTGCCTCGTTTTCTTGATTATTTACTTTATTTTTGTACAAGGGAAACATTCTGGGGTTTTAGCTATATGTTCTAAGTTTAATTTACAACTTTTTTTTTTTTTTGGGGTTAAATCGAATTCTCTTGCTGGCATATGAATCCATTCTTTCAGAGTCAACTCCCTTTCATGGATTAAGGAAGTGGCGATGGATCATGATAGTTCTTTACACCTTTAACATAAGCTTGAATTTTCCTTCCACTAATAGATAATTACTGGAATTGGAGGAACTACCATTGATTTATATTTCTCGTAAATTAATGGATAAAACAAAAGCATAAACTCATTTAACATGCATTTTAGAGGTAAAACCCAATCCCACCCAAGCTTTGGCAGTCATTCAAGTAAATATTGTACTTTATAGCCCAGTCGCTTGAATATATAGTAATTCCTCAATGTATGATTATGGAAAGCAAAACATTGTAAAGATCAACATTTCAAGGACATATGTTTAAAGAGTGTATTTACTGCCATTGACATTGGTTTTTTGGTTGAACTACTGCCCTTGACGTTTTTGGAACTCAAATTAAATGTTTTTCTTCCCTTTTTTATAGGTTGAAAACATGGGTCATGTAAATTATGGTCCTTTCATCTTTGATAGAAAGGTAAGGTTATGTGAAGATAGCGCATTGAAAACTTTGATTGTTCTTGGATGATGTTTTTTCTTTTCTTGGCTGACCTTTATTCTCAACTTCTACACAGGGCATTTTGTCTTCTGTTTATCTTGATGGGGAAACTTTACATGGTTGGAAAATGCTCCCTATGCCTTTTCACAACCTGAATGAATTTCCAGCTTCCAATCCAATTACACAGGCTTCTTTTTCGACATTCAGTAAAATGTCTGGTAAGCACCAAGGTATTCATTTTTCTCAAGCTTCCCTTCTTAGGGTTGTAATATCAAATTTGTAACCAAGCCTATTCTTTTGGCAGAGAATACTTCACTTGTACCTGCTATCTATATTGGCCATTTCTCAGTTGATAACTCGAAACTCATCAAGGATACATTCCTGTCATTCAACAACTGGGGGAAAGGCATTGCATTTGTTAACGAATTTAATTTAGGGAGATATTGGCCGGTAAAAATAACTTCACTTTTATCTCTTGGGTGTATTTTGTTTGTGATTAGATTGCATGGCTATATAGTTTGTTCTCTATATTTATGATTGTTTTCCTCTTTAAGTATTAATATGTGTACGTCTTTCTAATAGTTGAGAGGACCTCAGTGCAACCTCTACGTTCCAGCTCCACTCCTTAAGGAAGGGGATAATACCCTGGTATGAGCTATTAATTATCTGTCTTTAGTATAGAGATGTTCACCATGGGTTAAATCATTTGAAACCAGAATTATTTTACGAATTAATTATTGAGTATTTTATTGAAATTCATCTGTCTTTCTTGTATGAAGTCTTATTTTTGTAAATTGATGCGCAGGTTATACTTGAGTTGGAATCTCCAAACCCTGAACTTGTGGTACACTCGGTCAATGAGCCAGACTTCACCTGTCGCTCAACCCTCAAGTCGAAGGAAAGAACCAACATGGGTCCCGAGTTGATGTGAGGGAATTATTTAGTTCGGATAAACAAATATCACGTTGGATAAGCTGGAGTTTTGTGCGTAATAAATGGAGGATATTATCATTGAAAAGGATACTAATTCTTCCATTGTTATATTGTTGCACACAATAGTATATATGATTATGAGCTCCTGAAACAACGGTGTAATATAATCTTCATATAATAACAACGTATATTTCTGATTGTTCTGGCCTACGAATATCACTTTGGATAAGCCTTCGTTTGTTTTCCATTTCACGGAGGCCAGTATCTTTGAAAAATATCTCCATTCTTCCATTCTTTTGCCGTTGCATACAGTAGTAATATTTATGAACTCATGAACCTATCCTGAAATACAATTGCTGCTTACCATTAACCTGGAATTCATCACAGTTTGAATGAGAAAAAGCAAAAAAGTGGCTTGTTTCCCCATGTTGGCAACGAAACTGACTTCACAACAATGCATAAGATAATTTCCTTAGGCCAACCAATCGTACGTATCAATACAATGATCCCATACAAACACTAATGAAGACATAAAAGCAGCAAAGTGAATTACATTCTGCATGCACTGAGGACATGTGTCGAACAAAGCCTTTTAATTGCTCAATATTTTTTTTGATACATGACGGGCAGAAAATTAAAAATAAGATCTCCTGCTGCCCTTACTACTTTCAGATGTTTCTAAATTGGAAAACAATCTAACACCTGAATTTCTTAGAGCAAGAAAACAATGTTCCCTCTAAGTGCTTATTACATCACTACCTATCAGGACTACAATTGCAAATACGTACAACACATCATCTCTGTTCCCAGGAAAATCTGGGAATAGGCAACTAAGCTACATAATGTTTCCATCAGACAAAACATCAGGTCCTGCCAAAAGAGAGACAAAATTGTAGATATCATTTGGCAGTGCTTTGAGAAGCATCTTTCTGGTCCTGTTTTGATCCTGCCATAGCTGTAGTTGCTGCGGCAGTCATGGCAGCCGCGGCTGCACCCATCTTAGCTCCCCCTGCAGCCTTCATTGCCCCAGCTATTTTTGCAAAAGCTGCTACGCCTCCTACAAGTATCGCCCTCAATGCAACAGTTGGTTTTACCGCCATACCTCCAAGACTACCTGCAATTTCGAAAAAGACTCATCAAACGAATCCAAACCATCTGAATGCAACACATCCATCACCATTTCCTACAAGCAGGAGCATCGACAATCTAATAGCACTGGGACAGCCCTTTAGTGCTTAAATTGTTGAAAAATTCTAAAATAGGCTCAGGTTGAAAGATGAGGGGGAACCAAATATATTCTCTTAAATTCTGGATTTATTATTCAACCCTAAAAAGAAAGCAATCGCTCGTAATAATCGTATTTTGGCAAAGGTAACGAGATTCACCCCCCCCCCCACCCCAACCAAAAAAAAAACCCAAAAAGGAAAAAATGATAACGAAAAATCATGCGGCTCCCTAGAAAAGAGTCAGAACTCGAATAACCCTTCATAAATCTACCAACATCATGTCTGTAGCTTTTGCTTATCATTTAGCATTAAGTAAAGAATCGAGCAGCTCAAACTGTTCCTCCTGACCGCAGTAAAGATTAATGGCACCCAGATGTACATACGTAGTTTTCAGGTTTTACCTCTCAAACGAACAGAATCATCAGGAAACTTCACAAGATAGACAAAGCTTGGAATGGAAAAAACAAATTTTCCCCAATGCATATGTTTATCATGATTAAATTCTCAAACAAATAATTTATTGTCTTCATTTCCTTCGATTCTTAGCTTAAGAATGCGGCAATTCTCACAGGGGCAAAAAAGATAAGTAAAGAAATCTAAGGTGGGCATTTTACACAGATGTTCAGTTTCAGAATTCAGAAGCGAAAAAGCATACCAAATTCAACACGAAAAGTGCAGCAGAACAGGACAGAAAACGGAAATAAAACCGGGAACGCGGCCTAAAAAGGATATTTATCAACGATCCAAGGTCGGTGCTTATGTAACTAAATTGGAACTTGGAAGGGCGGATGAGACAGGAAGCCGCGAATTTAAGGCACGCCGATCTTTCTTTCTTTCTCGGAGGGAAAAATAAGGTCAGCAGTTGTCCACGGACCGGACGTTAAGCGACTGCGGCAGCTCACGACGTCGTTTAATTGTCTCCTCCCTGGCATAACTCTTTTAATCAATTATAAATTATACTTCTGTTTTTATATAAAAATTAACTAATTAATTTAAATAGATTTAAAAAAATAATCAAACTAGTTATTTTTTAAAATTATTCTTATTAATTAATAGTAAATTAGATTATATAATTTGAAAAAAAATTACTATTCCGGTTCTTAATATAAAAGTCAATTGGCTAATTTAAATAGATTAAGAAAATTAATTAAGTTAGTTATTTATAATAAATATGTGTTTTTTAAAAATATTTTTACTAATCAAGTGTATTAGTTAAAATTACTATTATTACAAGAACTATCTTTAAAAAAAATAAATATAAAAAATAAAATAGATTGTATTCTTATATTTAGAATGAAAATCTTACAGTCATATTCTTAAAAAATCCCTCTTGCATCTTATTTTTAATTAGTGCAATCTTTATGTTCCGCTATGCATAAGACTACTGAAAAAAGAGCTGCTAACCATTAAAAATAAATTGCATATGGATTTTAAAACAAATTTTAGGTATTTTTAAATAACATTTTCTAAAAAAGATTGCTACCTCCGCTTTTCGATTTTTAATATAATAGCTCATTTAATTTTTATTTTAGTTCTAAATATAATATTCTAATCTATTTTGTTTCTTATGCTTATCTATTTTTTTAAAGATAGTTTTTACAATAATAGTAGTTCTAATCAATACACTTAATTAACAAACATATTTTTAAAAAAACAACACATATTTACTATGAATAATTAACATAACTGGTTTTTTTTTTAACCTATTCAAATTATTTAACTAATTTTTATATTATATTAAGAATGAGAAATAGTATTTTTTTAAATTATTCAGCTAACTTTTATATTATATTAAGAATAAAAAATATTTTTTTAAATATAAAACTCTTTTTATAATATAATTTATATTATAAAAAGATTCGAATCGAGTAAGAATTTTTAAATTATATGATTTAATTTACCAGTGTTAAAGGGATCTGATGATCTCGTTCCGTCTTCCTGTCAGCGATAGAAAAGAAGCGTTTTTTGTTTTCCCTCCGATACGCAGCTTGAGAGGGAGAAGGCAAAATGGATTACAGCGGAGGAAACTGGACTATGATCCCCACGCACAGCTCCAACCTTACGCAATCCAATCAGGATCCTCTCTTTCTTCATCAACAACAACACCAATTTCTGCAGCAGCAGCAGCAACAAACGTTTCAAGCTCAAACCCCGCAATCTCCATTTCAACAGCCGCAGCAAAACCTCTATCAACAGCAACATCAACCGCAGCGTCTTCTCCAACAACATCAACAACAGCCGCTATTGCAGCAACAACCCCAGCCACAACCTCAACCGCAGCAGAATCCTCATCAGTCCTTAGCTTCTCACTTTCACCTCTTGCATGTTAGCTTTCGCAACCCTAATTTCCGTAATTTTATCTAGCACGCTTTCAATTTTCATTCAGATGGGACACGTCAATTAGGAACCCAAAATTCACGGAATTAGTTTAAATGGTTTAAACGAATGAGGAGATGTATGCGGAGGACTATTAGTATTTTGACAGTGAACTTATTTTTGAAAGATAGCAATGTGATTTTTCTTTTTTGGTTATCGTGTTTTTGTTGTTGACCTCTATGATGGTTTTCTTTGTTATGGGCATAGTTGATGGAGAATTTGGCAGAGGTTGTCGAACATGGAAATAGGGATCAGCAATCAGATGCATTGGTATGATTCTCTCTCTTCCTCCCTCTCATTTTTGTTGGTTTCAGCATTTGCTATCGAATTTGACTTTGGATTATCAAATATCAGCCTTTACGGGATGTTTTGTAACTATTATCAATGACTTTTTTTTTTTTTAAATGAAATTAATGGAAGATTAATGAGTTGAGCAGCCATTTCGAGAGGTGCCAGCAGTTGTTAGACTCCATTTCAGGCTCCATTAGCACCAAGGCTATGGTAATTAACCTCTCTCTATATATACACGTCTCTAGTTTGCTTTTACCTTGATTTTTAATAACATACTACCTCTGATCCTTAATATAAGACCCCGTTTGACTTTTAGTTTGGTCTTAATTATAAGATCCCAATCCATTTTGTCTCTCATATTTATGTATTTTTTCCTAAGATAGTCCTTCTAATAATGATAGTTCTAACCAATACACTTAATTAGTAAGGATATTTTAGGAATGACAACACTTATTTGTTATAAATAACTAACTTAACTTACTTCCTTAATCTCCTCAAATTAGTCAATTGGGTCTTATAATTAGGACCAGAGGTAGTATTTCTTCCTGTTTTGCCCTGCTTTTGTGTATGTTTACTATGAAGGAAAAATGAGTATTAGTTGAGCCCTTGAACTAAAAAGAAACCGTTTCAACATTGCGCAGAGACCGGCTGGTTATGCAACTGGCCTATAAAGGATGGTTATTAAACGAGTTCATCTTTCTGTGGAATAATATGTAGTAGTTTTATGCAGCACAGATCATTGGGTTTGAGATTCCCCTTTTCATTTTTATAATACTGCCCTGCCGACAGGTCATGATGAGCAGATTCCATGCTGAATTTGGGGAAAAGAAAAAAAGAAAAAAGAGGGGGGGGGTTTTTTTTGGGGGGGGGGGGAGAAAATTCCTGTCTAAATACGGCTGTTAAAATCAACAGAAGGTTTAAATCTTCAGCTAATATTTTTTAGTCAGTGGAATTATTCTTGATCTAAAATTAGGACTTTCTGCATGCTTAACACAGACAGTTGAGGGACAGAAGAAGAAGCTAGAGGAAAGTGAGCAATTGCTAAATCAGCGAAGGTTAGTAGTAGTAGTAGTTGTTTCATACATCTTTGTTTGCTTGAGATTCTATAAACTAAATACATGCCTCCCCCTTTTTTTTTGACATGCAGAGACTTGATTGCTAATTACCGGAAGTCTGTGGAAGAGCTTGTTAAATCTGAGCCATAAGTTCCAGTCAATCAAATGTGTAAGGAAATTTACATTAGGCTATATCTCGGTAGATTAATGGTTATTCTCTTTTTATCAGCAGCAAAGATGCAAATTATTTTGAAGTTGAGATTGACTAGAAACATGTACAGTCATCTTTATTCATATGGAAGCGTAATACTTGATATATTCGAAATGAAATGCCAGTGAAGATGATTAAGTGTAGGCTTAGGGGACTTCACAGCATTTTCCCTAGCCAAACTAAGGAGACGCGATTATAAATGCAGCTTTATTCGTCCATGCGTCATTCAAGCATGTTAGTTAACTATATTTGCATCCATTTGTGGTTTAGAGTGGGTTAGTGTGAAGCTAGAAATGAAATTAATTAATTTTTAATCCCCTTTCACAAGTACAGGAGTTGTCTGTTATAGAAAACAAGAGCCCTTGAGTTCCAAAAGGCTATTTGCTTATTAGTTCAAAACTAAACCGAGATATTGTTTTTGCTTTTTATTTCTTCTGGTTGTTCCTCTTTACCCCCCTGATACGCTGATTTCATCAATAACAAAAAGAAAGTTGAGTCCCTGTAAGTTTCTTTATTTAACTTCAAAGTTCAAACACGTGTAATGCAGGGCTCTCTATCATCAATATCTGGATATTACGGTTCTGAAGGAAAAATCAGAAGTTTTGATAAATAGGTTGTCGGAAATGTGGAGGCAACTGGTAACTGGGAGCTAAAATTTCTATATTTAGCTCCTCACAAGTATAGTTTCTTTATTGATTATTGATGTTTCTTCTCTGTAACAGTCCCCATTGTTATTGGGTGAACCTTGTTATTTAATGTCGTTGAAGGTTCTGTAAATGGTAGAACATGCCTTTTAGATTTCTGATTTCTGAGTTCAGCTCTAAACTGCAGCTTTTCATATGACGTAAAAATCTGCCAGAGGATGTCCTTATTCGACGCTTTATTAAACACCGTTTACAAGATCAACAATTGAAAGTCTTGAGGGGGAAAATGAGAGAGAGAAAAAACATGAGAGTACAAAACAATTTACAACAATTGCATGGAATGTTTTGAAGTTGATCCGCATGCTAGATCACTAGCTAGTTTTATCCCCGCTTTTTAATTAATTATTATTATTAGTAAAAATAATCAAGATAATAACGTGATTTTTTTTATTTGATAAGGGTGTTCCTTTTGAGACCTAGAATGCAAAAAAAATTTATTTCTCCCAACAAGTGTGATTTTTAGTTACAGGATAAAAATCAAAGGACTCCGATTATTTTTTTTGGGAAAGTAAAATTTATGAAAATATCATTCTTAATTTTGGATTTGATATTTTAAAAATTGAGTTGTTCACAGCTGAACTGGTGGACCATAATTTTGAACTTTTTAAAAAAAATGATATAAAGGAGTATTTATAATAAATATAAATATGAAGGCTAACAGTCAGATAAAGTATTTCTATGAAACAATAAATCTCTATGAATAAGGAAGTTGGAGTACATCGAATATCATAATCATAAATTATTGTAAATGCAAAAGTTTAATTTCTACAAACCAGAAGGAAAAATTTGTTTCTATGCCCAACCAATTTGATTTTTAGTATCACTTGGAATGCAACCATGACACGTTCACCGATTTTTCTGTTACAAACCAAAGTTTGTTTTGATTTTCTTAGCCATGCCAAATTTTAAATTATTACTTTCTTAATAATCTATTTTAAAATAAATTAATTTTAAAAACTTTTATAAGTAAAATATATTATGTATTATAAAAAATGATTAAAATGTATATTTAGTACTTTATCTTTATATAAAATTTTAATTCGATTTACTTTATTTGAAGAAATAAAAACTTCTTGAAAAAAGCTTTTGATTTTACTTGGTTTAGTGCCTGTTTGATTAAGTGATGAGAGTTCAAATAAGTCTATTTGAATCTAAATAAGTGATTATAAAGCATATTTATCCTGTTTAGATAATTTTTATGAAACTTGATGAATTGTGATTTTACTTTTTCACTGTACTCTTAAAATAAACATTAAGGAGTAGCTTTTGCGTTTGAAGAATTCCGATCAATTTTTATCAACTGAATTTTCTCCAATCTATCCTCCCACACTCTCCCAAAAATCTCTTCCCAAATAATTATATTTAATAATATTTATTAAATTCATGTCTTTTTGGTAATTATATATCTATAAGTGATTTTAATAAATGAAAACCAAACAAAATCACAATTCTTAGAGTGACTTATAAAAAAATATATAAAAACAAAAATCAACATTAACTAACATCATTTATAGTCAATATCACTTATAAAATTTATGATTATTTAAAATTACACTTGTTGATAGCTAATCCAAATGGGCACTTAAAGAATAATATCCATGGCTCCTTTATAATTAAACCTCATAACTTACAAATACATATATCATTAAAAATTATTATATTTTGGTAAGAGATAACTAAAATATTAAATAAGTAAGATTTTAATAAACTTGTTTCAAAATTCAAGTTTCCATAGAACAGTTGAACTAAGCAGCCACTTATATGTTCTAATAACTAACTAATTACTCATCTCCCTCTAAAAGACTTGTAACTAAATTTCACCCAATTTTAAAAAGTGACAAAGAAAGAAAATACTATTTATAACTACAGCCAATCACACAAAGTAAATCAGTTGATAATATAAATATTTTTATTTTATAATTTAAAAAATAAAGAAGATCTCCATCTCCTATAACCCCCATAATATATCTATCTGTGTCTCACTCTCACCTCCTGGCATTTCTCTGAATCTCTCATTTCTACAAACCCTAGTTTTTGTTGAACAAAGCCCAGAAATTTCAGGAGATCTCTTACCCTCCAAACCTCCTCCTGTTTCCTCGTCCCCAGCCTTTCCCGGCGGAGACGCTTTCTCTTTCTTCCTTTTCCTTAATTCCACATTGCCATGAACAACGTTAACAACAACAACAACAACCAGGCTTGTGCTGCTTGTAAGTACCATCGTAAGAAATGCGCTCCTGACTGTATTCTCGCACCTTATTTTCCTCACGATCGCCAACGTCAATTCCTTAACGCCCATAAATTGTTCGGTGTCAAAAAGATCACCAATATCATCAGACACCTCAACCCCCACGATAAAGACCAAGCCATGCGAACCATCATCTTCCAATCTGACATGCGAGCTAACGACCCCGTCGGAGGTTGCTACAGATACATTCAAGAGCTTCAAGCTCAGATCAAATACCACCAGGCCGAGCTTGAGCTTGTTCTTCAACAGCTCGCTCTTTATCGATCCCAACCTCACCTTCATCATCATGATCACTTAAATCTTTATAATAACAACCCTATTGCACCAGTAGTACCTCATCCCACTCATTATCAATACCTTCAACAAGAACCGCCGTACATGATGGTTCATCCGCAGGAACAACATCATCAGATTCAGAATAGTGATGTATGTTTGCAGGAGGATGTTAGTGGTTGTTGGGGAGTGCAGGATTCTGGGTGCCTGTCGTCTTTATCGTTACAGAACAAGAATAATGTCGGGGACGATATGAGTGCTGATGGTTATATGGGCGATGAGTTATATAATGATCAAAAGTCTTCGTCAACGTCTATGCTTGACATTCATTATGGTGATGATGAGAGGAATAATGAAATCGGTTTTGAACCTGAAGAATTAGTGGATCGCAGGTGTGTCTTTATTATAATCATCAACATTCTTTATGTAGGAATGTCTTCTCTTCATTTATTATTATTATGCTCGCCGCAAGTAGTTCTGCAATCATCTGAAAGTGTCCTGCAATTTCTGTTGCATGTCTGCATAATTTAGTCTTTTGTTAAATATCATTTTCAACGTTGATATATAATTTGATCTGCAAAACAACCCGGGGTCTTAGTATGGGTTTGGGGCCTGTTTCCCCTTTAATATAAATGAGCAGGCGTGAGCCCAAAAGAACTCATCAGTTAGATAATCGAATCTAAGTAAGACCATAACAATAATAATTTGTGTATCATTAATACTTCGCATTCAAGAGGCAGATCCAATAAAACATTTGAATGGATATCCAGATTATGAGCATAAGAAATTCTCCAATTTCGCCTACCATCATTTTTTCGATGGTATTAGGATAGTATGTAGCCCACCATCGTGTGATTAATTGAACCATATATAACCTATTCAGTGTCTAGTTTTCTCCATTTCTCATGTGATCATCGTCAGCTTGATTTATTCTTCTCTTCCCTAGCATGCCTTTAAGTACAGTTTATGTGGATAAAAACAAAATATACCTTTCTTTAATTTGTTATCCTCTCCATTAAAAACTTTGCAACATCTGTTCTTCTAATAAAGCATCCAGTAAGTCTGAGCATGAACTCTTTGCCAAGATAACCCCACTTTAGCCTTTGCATGCCATATAAGTGTTTGGGAGTTTTATTTTGGAATGAAAACGAGTGGCACGGCAAAAATGTGTCAAGCTAGTATATTATTTAGGTGAAATGTTTGCTTTAAATAGGGTGGAATAATGTCAAGAAATATGATGAAATAGCTGAGCTTTTCTTTCTACCAGATGAATTTTTTAGTTTAATTTATATTCTTTTCAATTCCCTTCTCTAGATTAGCTTTTCTTTTAGTGGTCTACCCTTGATGATTAATGAGATATATACATGCAATTTTGAAGCTTCAAACGCTCTTCCTTATATATGTACAAGCGGTGTAATGTCTGGTTTATTTAGTTCATTAATTGTTACAATAATTAGGTTGTGATTTTCGAGAATTATATTAGCGTAACATGTGCATCTACGTACATTCAAGTCATACTTATTTTGGGCTATATTAGCTCATGTTGTTAATTTTCCGTTGATATGTTTGAGCATTATTTCAAAATAAGCATCATGTAGCGTAATTCATTAAATTAAAGTTAAAAAAAAAAGAAACAAAAAGCAAAGGTTGGTTTGGAAATGCATTAAATATAAGTTGGGGGGGGTATATATAATCCCATAAAGTTGTAATTTTGTTTCTTGAAGATCTAAAATTGAATATGATGTGCTTTACAATAGTAATAAAAAAAATAGTAAAGTTTGTTTGAGAGTTTAGACCTGATAAACTCTCTTCGTGGAGGATCCTATACTTGTTATTGACAACGTTGATTCAACCAAAAACTGATGAACTGGTGCAAATAAAACCAGTTCACCATTATACTGCAAAACTAGTGATTTTGAACAGCCTCGTTGGCCAAAAAGAAAGTTCAAAAAGAAAGAAAGAAAGAAAGAAACAGTCACTTATTTGACCAATTCCAAGTGGCTGTTGGTGCAAAGTGGCATTATCATTTCCATAAATCTTTTCTTCCCATAACATTATATGAGAATTATTCTTATACAAAATATAAATAAGTATGGATTTACTTGATGAGTACCGTGATGATGAAGTATCTTGTATGGATTTGAATGTTAAGTAGTGAAATTTATTATTAAGTTTTTTAATCTGCATTATATTTTAACATTCGAATTAAACATACATTAATTTAGTTACTACATGTTCAATGACTGCATCTAGATTTCTAAACATTAGCACTGTGTACTTGAATGTTTTCATTTTGAAAAAATAACTAAACTTTTATACAAGATAGATTTGCAATAGTTTTTATTAATAAATTATTAGATTCAGAGGGCAGTGCATCAAAAAAATTACACGTCAAATTTATTATTTACAAAATTCGACAAATGCTGAAAGCTAAAAGCTAAGCATCGAAGCAGATAATAATAAGAACTAGTGACATGCTTGTTTTCTGAATTTTTTGCCAAATTTGTTATTGTTGCATAATTCTAACGTAAAGAAGTTGTTGGACCGAAATATGCAGTGAAGAAGAAGGGGTTTTGTTCAAGATAGAAAATTCAGTATTAAAAGCAGAGGCTGATTGCATTCAACAAGATCAAGATCATGATCTCAAAGGTGCTGCAACTTTGTTCACTCTCACAAATTGTACTACCTGACAACTTAGTGCTTGTTTGAATCACAATCAGAATCTCCAAAAGTACTTATTCACGAAACTTGAGACAAGACTCATTTTACATACTTATCTCGGAAACACCATATTTCAAGTCTCAATTTTGCAGCAATCCTTTTTCTTCTACTTCTAAGATAGGAAGCAACAATGCTTCTGGGCGGCTATAGTTACCACTTCCTGTAGAGAAACTCTTGTTCATTTTTTATAGAATAAATAACAGTGTGCCCTCCTTCACTACTCATTCTTCAAAGGCTATTGGAGTTTTTGTTAGGCCTGGAGAAAACTATTCGTCAAGTATAAGAAACTAGCTAACTGATGCGTACTTAATTCTCACAGAAAGGTTTTTATCTATTTTTCTCAGAAAAATTGAATATGTTTCTGGACTGGCAAATTATCAGCCTAAAGGCATAAATACTTCTATCGAATCAGAATATTGCTTTTCAGAGAACTACAAGGTAATCTAAAATGTAAGCGACTGTAGAAATAAAAACCCAGCCAATCCATGGCATTCAAACCAGCATCAAGATATCTGCAAGTGTTTGCCCCAGTAAAAATCCAGGCAGTTGAGAAAGAACAGAAAGCGCTAGGTATTAGAAGAACACAGACACACACACACACGGCCTTTATGGCAAAAGCGTACAATTGGTAAACTAAACCATCTCCCTGTCTGGTTTCAATATCAGCGGAGGGCGGAGGCATAAAACACACGAGATAATGTGAAGGAGATGCTCTTCAAACACCTTCAACGAACCTCTAGCCCTAAGAATTCCCTTCCTTTTGACATTCAATAAAGCATCTCATAAGCTACTAAGAATTGATCTCATCTGCCAATGTAAAATTCCCCAGGTGTTGCTCCAAAGTTCTGTGTCTTATTTTCTTAGGATGACGTTTCAATTTGCATGAAAATAATAAAAACAGCCGCTTTCTTCTTGGATAGAACTAGCAGGGCTAGTATTTTCCCAAAACATCATATTCTAAAGTGAACTGTTTGTGCCAGCAAGAGAAAGCCATAGGATAAAATAAACCTAGTCTCTCAGTTTGCAACAACCAAGAGGTTTGACTCCTCATCATCAATGCATTGTTGATTAAGCACATGATTGGATGCGCAAATTTCACTCTCCATTTGAAGTGCCAATTCCTCAGCATCCTATAAACTTCTTCCAGTCCAGACTGGACAACATTCCCTGCTGAGAATGTGTAAACTTTCTTTTTCACCTCTATCAAACTCTGACCAGGAAATTTCTTCAAGCCCCTTGACTTCACTGAGATCCTAACCCTAGCAGAATCCTCCCATCTTCCACTTGCAGCATAAATATTTGACAGCAGCATGTAACTTCCAGTTACTTCTGAATTCAGACTCAGAATATATGATTCCGCGTCTTCTGCAATGTCTATATCCCTGTGCATTCTGCATGCATTTAGAAGAGCTCCCCAAATACACTCATTAGGCTCTATTGGCATGCTTCTAACGATATCACTTGCCTCTCGCAAAAGTCCAGCACGGCCAAGAAGATCAACCATACATGCATAGTGCTCTATCAGAGTTTCAACTTTAAATTCTTTAACCATCCTGTCAAAAAGCTTGCGGCCCTCCTCGACAAGTCCTGCATGACTGCATGCAGAAAGAACAACAACAAAAGTGACATTGTCTGGCTTGATTCCAGACTTAATCATCTCATCAAAAGTTCTTAATGCATTCTCGCCAAGCCCATGCATACCAAAGCCACCAATTAATGAATTCCAAGAGACTAAGTCTCTACCCTTCATGTTATCGAACACCAAATGCCCTTCCTCGAAACCCCACACACTTCATATACATATTAATCAAGCCATTTACTACCAAAATATTATCATCCATCAGAACCCTAACAGCATAACCATGGATTTCCCTGCCAAGGTTCAGAGCTGCTAACTCTGCACAAGCTGATAAAATGCTGGAGATTGTCACACAATTGGCCATTACTTTGGCCTGCTGCATTCTTCTAAAAAGCTCAAGGGATTCCTCAATACGCCCTTTTGAAGCAAAACCACCAATAACAGCACCCCAACTTATGACATTAGGTCTAACTGGAGGATGACCATCTGACTTCTCCAGCTGCAAAAATACTGACAGTGCCTCATCACATAATCCACATTCAGCATATGATGATATCAAAGCATTCCAACTTACTATATTCTTGCTCGTTATTTCAGAAAATAGCTTATGTGCATCCAGAAGCTCATGCTTCCCATAAGCGCCTATCAATGCATTTTTCACAAACAAATAATTTTCATATCCACCCTTTACAATATAGCTATGTAGTTCTTTGCTCCTGTCAATTGAAGCCATATCAGCACACACGGATAAGACTACAGCTAGGGCTTCAGCACTGATTTCAGTTCCCCTCATATTCAATGCCTTAAACAACCTCAGTGTTTCATCATAAAGGCCACATCTAGCATGGCTTGACAACAGTGATGTCCATGTCACAGAATTTGGTTGAAATCCCTCCAACTCCATTTGCTTAAAGGTCTTACAAGCACCACGAGGATCATGGTTCGAAGCATAACCAGAAACCATCATATTCCATGAAACTTGGCTTTTGACAACCATTCTATCAAATAATTGGGAGGAATCAACCATTTGCCCAAGCTTCCCATACATATTCAACAGTTCATTCACAACATGAAGATTATTCTGGAAACCCATTTGCAAAGCATGACAGTGAACAATCTTGCACAGAGTGGGGGTGAGCACATTCGAACAAGCCCTTATTATCAGAGGAAAAGTGAACCCATCAGGCCAAAATCCAAGCTTTCGCATCTTAGCATAAAGTTTAAGTGCATAATCATAATACCCATGAGAGACATTGGCTCTAAGAATTGAATTCCACAAAGCAGATTTTCAAGACCTTCAACTTGGACCGCATCAAATACTTTGCGAGCATCTCTGACAAACCCAAAAGATGCATAAACAGTTATGAGTTTGGCGGCCAAGAAGGCCGACTGATGAGCACCAGAACAAGAAGTTGAGTGTGAACTTGTTGAGATGCTGGACTGTAAGGCATCGGTGAACAATGACATCAAAGAAATCAAGGAGTTCATTGCTGGTAATGCAGATTTGATATGATGGCTGTGGGCTATGGAAATGGGTGTGGGCTACGTAGTTAGAGCAACCAAGCTTATGCAGCAAGCTGAAAGACTTCACTGGGTAACGCAAAGATATAGATATGAGGCGGTCATAGGCAGCATTTAGCATGAAGTCTCATAGTTATGACAAGATTAAGGATTTATTAACCAAATCTTTGGCACCCGACTGACAAATTCAAACTCATCTTGCCCTTCTTCTTTGAATGAAGATGATAGCCAAAGGAAAACACTATCTTGCCTACAATAAGATACAAATCATTCATGTCAATGAACTCACTCCAATGGTCATAGTTAGAACCAAAGAAAATTTATTATCAAATTACTTCCCTATATCCCTCTATATAAACACCTTTGCAACTGAAAGTTATAACAACCCCATGGAAGGTTGTCTTCATTAACTACTCTACAATAGTTGCTGCTTCTACTGGTCATTCATGCATATTCAGTACTTATTCTAATTAGCTACCACTTTTCCCCAGTATGAGGTCCAAATAATTTCAGTGTAGTTATTTCTGTCACATGATGGACCGTTCAATAAAAGGTGCCGAAGTTCTTGAACACATAGCCAATCTTGAAAAGGACCAACATCTGACTAGAGTATATGATTTTAAATTTAATACTTCACTGAATAGAAAATTTTTCTACATACTGAAAGGTTTCAACTATAGAAAATACAATATTATTGCTATTCACATAAAGGCTATTCTGACTCACCCATTACTGCGTTTACCAACTATTAAAATCCTTTTGGCCATAGAATTGCAGAGCGACAATTCTTTCGCATATTAAAATCCAATCATATCAAAACTAATCACCCTTAGAGAATACGAGCCCTGCTACTATCAAATTATCAAAATCTCAACTTCTGCTCATGAGTTGATATCACGGCATTATCGACCTTATATTCGGATAACTGAGTGCAAAGTCCACACCCAGGAAAAAACTAAAATAAAGATAGATTAATGCTTCGCAGAATCCCATTCACTAATTCAAGCAAACCAACAAGTGCTGTGTTCATCACCAGATAAGAAGCGAACCAAAAGCTAAATAAATATTATCTTCTATTGGCATGGACTATTACCCCAATATGTAATCAGCCAAATGAATTCGCAGGACTGCCG